GGACGGCCTCAGCAGCCCGTCCGATCAACTTTCAAATGGATCGCCGTCAAGCTCTGGTGGTAGCCCCGGGTCTTCTGGTGACATGGATTGTGATCACAATTCATGGCTGGAGAATAGTATTGAAGCATCAAGTGAGTTCCCTCCGATCACGTGTCCTTTCCGTATGGAAATCTCTGTAAGAGCTTCTGGAAGCTAACCCTTCATGTGATAGTATCATCTCTTCCCTTTTCCAACGGTCGCGGGGAAGCCGTGAAGATCGTCTCGCAAATGCTTCCTTACCCACGACCGGCTGACAAGTCCGCCCCGGTCTCCGCACACGATAGCGTATACTGCGCCCTGGTCCACGCGATTCAAGATCGCCTTCGTCATGGACAGTCTCCATACATCAACATCACCCATGCTGTTCCTGAACAGTTCAGCCTTTCCAACTTACCCTCCTCTCCTCCACCGACACCTCGCTCGCTTTTCTCCGGCGAGGATTATTTCAACCCACCGGCTGTCTTCTCCAGTGCAGCCGTGGTTTCCGCCTATCACGATTTCCGGGGTCCGATCCAGCCCAAGACGACGTACTCTCCGATGCCGATCGTGCCGCCACACACCGTCCACGTTTCGGTCTTGGAGCGGTATCTCCCTCCGTCGTCCCCACAGGAGTACAAAGACATGTTCTCCCGGTATCGTCCGTCATTCTTGGTCGACAGACTGAGTGAGCTATCACCTGACGGCGGGTCATTACTGTTCGTCTACCCCACGAGAAGGGGTGCATCCACCTTTAAGTCGCAATATCTCGGACCCATCCTAGATCCCTTACTCCGTCAGCTTGTGGTTGTGAATGAGTTGTCCACCGACATCGGTCGCTATCTGGGAAAGCTCTCGTCTGTCTCGCACATGGAAGACTTTGACACGATGCGGCAAAACCTCACCCAGCTCTGCTGCGATCTGAGCTCCCCATCGTCTCAATTCAGCATTGTCGATGCCCGTAAGGGCAGTGCCCATCTGGACCGTGATCTGTGGACCGAGTGGTACATTCACCAGGAGAAGTCTCGTATGAAGGAGGTTCTCAGCGTATACTGGCAGAACGGCCGCCGGCTGCCTGCGACCAAGGCAGTGTCGAATATGTCGACGAATTACATTCTGGAAGATAAAGAGGTGACTTCGGCCATGCTCTTAGGGGAGATCCTGGATGGTATCCGAAGACGGCCATATGGCGAGGATTCGGAGCCTCGGGATGGTGTTGAGTTGGGAGTTTTCGTGATCCGCCGGACTCACTAAGCACGGGTTCTGCAGCTGTGGAGCCAGTTGCGGGCGGGAATCCCTCTCCGCCTCCATATATGGATGCTCCATCTTCTTGATTATGCTTCATCTTTCCTCTTTTCTTTTCTTTGCTTTTAATATTTCTTGAAGGATATATAGCCGTGTGATTCAAAAACGGGGAACTGGCGGGTCCGGCGGCGTCTGCGGAGTTGGGCTTTGGGTTCTCGATTGCACGTTTGGGAATGTCTAGGGAGCATTGACTGTGTGCATTTGCTATTATCGGATGAAAATACCCAGGATATATATTTCATGGCAGCGTGACGACCACTAGCATGTGATTACTACTACTTTTTACTCTTTTTAACTAGATATGGAAATACATGATCCGCCCTACAGAAGGCAACCCAAAGGCAGCGATAGATGATGTCAGCGTAGTGAGTTGTACACCGTATACGACAGTGGTAATTCCTATGTAAGACTCTCCCATAGATAATGGAGTGCGCACTGCAATTGTCGTCTTGTGTTAATTCATATGTTATCAAGCATACAAAAACTCAAGTCTGTGTTGTTAGTAACTCTGTATGGCTTCACTGCAGGCCGGGAAAACACCGACAGGCCGGGCGGTCAAAAATGTCCCCGAGGCTAATCCGCTTCGGGCCAACGGCCGGCCTCCCGCCTTCTGCTCTCCTCCGTCACTCTCCAGTCCAGTTCTTCTGCCTCCTCTTTCTTCGCCTCGAATTTGCCTGGTCGCTTGTCATCTCCGTGCTTATGCAGACTGCCTTTCGAGCCTTTCGGTCTTGCCCTGCCTTGTTCCGGCAGCAGTTTCCTGCCAAGCCCAGCTTTGCTTCTCCCACTGAGCCTTCTTCTCATCGCCCTTCTCAACTCTTCGCAGTGTTTGCCCTCCACTCCTCTCTCTCTTTCTCGCTCTAGCACCTCCACCATTCTTGCTCATGGCCTACTCTCCTGGCCCAACATCCCCGGTCCACGGGAACGGGGCGCCCATGATGGCAAATAACCTACAATCTCGAGGGCGCTCCACTAGTCCTCCGACCAGCGTGCCGCTGTCGAAACGGGACAAACGACGCAGCGCGCTCCAGGAGCGCCTCCATGACCTCACGGCCTCGTTCAGCCAAAACAGAGATACCCAGTTCCGCCAACAATTGCATGCTCTTCAATGCGACATGACCCTCATTAACAATGCTGATCCTTACGAGCCCGGCCCTCTCCCCGATTCGGCGGAGGATATTGCCCGCCTTATCGAGAATACCGTCGGTGGGGGCAAGTTCGCCAAGGAGATGGCGAGTTTGGCCGGCATGTGGTATTCGCGGTTCGTGCAGGAGGTCAATCAGGTCAAGGCGGAGAAGGATGCGGATTTGGCTATGTTGGTGGTGAGTTCATCTTAGCACTGCTTTTGTTTTTCTGTCGAGCTCGCGGGCTAATGTTTATTCTCTTCTCCAGCATCGTCACAATCATAATCTCGAACGGTTCAAGCAGGAGTATGCGTTTCGGGTCCATTTTGCGGAGGAAGAATATAATAACTTGTCGCTTACCCTTCGGGAGCGTCTTGTTCAAACGATTTCGGGCAAGAGGGCTCGCTTGATGCGAGAAAAAGAGCAGTTGGACCTGGCGGATACCAACGCCCTCCTTCTGCACCCCAATCAGTTCAGCATTACCAACCCTGCCAGTCCGGGTGGGATTCACGGAAACCGCAAGACTCGTCACACCCGCCACCGCGTCGATTTGGACGAGCTCGGCAATGGGATCATGTCGGAGCATTTCAATAAGCGCAAGAGAAAGGCGGCCGATGAGGATGTGGGCTCGCCTGTGCGCGAGACCAACCCCGCCGAGCGCGCCAAGGCCCAGGCGGCCCAGCAGCAGCAAGCGCCGTCCTACTCCATCAATTCTCTCTTTACGGAGAGGGAGCTTGGTGCTCATGCCAATGCTGCACACATTGCGACAGTCCACTTCTTTTCGACGTCCAAGCGTGCGGACCAGCCGTCTGGAGCGGCTACAAACGGTAACAACACCGATGCCGACGATGGTTCGGGGGTGGACGGGACGGGTGCCGAGGACAATGGCACTCCTGCGGCCGATATGGCTCGCACAGCCAGTCAGAACTTCCACGCCACGCGGTCCACGCGGGGGCATGGAAATCACGCTTTGAACGCGCTGGCGGAGCTGTCAGATAAGCCCGCTGTACGTCCTAGTCTCCCGTACAATATCTTGGCCAACTATCACGCGCGTTCAAGCAACAGTGGCGCGCCTCCCTTGCCTCCTCTGATGAACGAGGAAGTCGATGACGACTGGGCGCGCATCGACCGGTTGCATAACAAGCCTGCGGGATTCGTGGATCGCACGCTCGTTCAGCTCTTAGTTGAGACAATCCCCTCAGACGTGGACGGGGTGCCGCAGGACCCTAACCGGTTCAATATGCTGCACCCCGACTTTCCCACCGAAATGGGCATGCATCTGTATCCGTTAAGGAAGGACAACGGCGACGTAACAAGCAACGAGCGTTCAACGAAAAAAACCAAAACGGGCTAGCCATGTAGCCTCTATTTGCGGAACCAACAATACCACAGGCGTTTAAGGCTAGCCATGAAACTGGCTAACCGGGGTAGGTGCAAACAGGATTGGTAGCGGGAGTACTTAACAAATACCACTTTGACGGGCGTTGGGATTAATTGACATTGGCTGCCTGCTTGTATGGTGGCATTTGTTTGGACGGAGCAAGAATCTCCTGTCATACCTTTTTTCTTTTTCTTTTTCCTTTTCTCATCAGTGATCTCTCTTCACCTTGAAATCTCTGACCCGGAATGTTTACTAGAGTCAGCCAGTAGTAGTATACTTCTCTCTGAGTCTTGTGATTCCGCTCTGCGTCTATATTGCTTTGCTTCGGACTGGATTTTGTCCTGGGACGGCGTTGACTGGTGATAGATTTTGCCCTGCTTGCTTCATTGGATATGACACGAATGAGGTAGGCAGTAAGTAAGTAGTCAGTAGGTTTGATAGTCAGTAGGGAAGGTATGATGTGGACTGTACATGCTCGCTGGACGTGTTTATTATCCCTCTCAACTGTGCCCCGCCGGGGCTTACCCTTGAATAACTGTAGAGGTGTTTGGTGGTTACTTGGTGAACTATCTAACTGGTCAGCACTGACAGCAATTATTTGTAAGTGATTACTTAGTTCATAGTTAGGTGCAGACCTAGCTATACACCACAACTAAACATAATACACACTCGTCTACCGCACGATACTTAAAATCCATACTCTCTACTGAGATATATCATTTAATATCATGAACTAGTATATTCAGTGGCATATATACTAGTGGGGTGGCTCGATATGAAGTGCTTAAGTGCATGCATCCCGTGAGTACCATTTACGCTACAATGCAACCCTACCTACCTGCACAGCCACTACAGAAGCAATTGCATAACAGTAATAAATTGGTTACCCCCCTATCCAATAACATTATTTGAATATAGTTTTGTGAGGACAACCAGCCCTTAGTGACGGATGTTCGGGTTAAAATGTTACAGAGCACAGGAATGGTGGTGGTGGTGGTAGATAGTATTGACGAAGTATGGACATGACATTGATGTCGACTATATTATAAGAACAAATAATCAATTACAGGAGCGAAAACTAGTAAACATAAATACATCAAGCAATGTCTATAAAATAACTGACAATGGGACTACATCTAGAAAGAATGAGAATATCACTCCATGTGAAGTCCTCCCCAGCCCATCCAATTCACATACCCACAAGCTCTTCCAACGCTTTAAACTCCTCCGACGCTAACACAGACGAGGCAGAGTGCCTCTGAACCGGATCAACCACCAGCATCAATCGCAGAAGATCCCTAAATTGCCGCGGCATATCCACCTTTCGTAATTCCTCACACAACGGTGAGATTGCTTGCAGCTCCGACACCTCCTCACTAAAACTATCAGCAGCATCTAGCGCAGCTTTCAGCGAATGACCCTCCACATAGTCAGGGTGCGGGATCTTCCAATGAGGGAATAATCGCTTTATTTTCGCCATGCACCAAGCGTCATTAATAAATGGATGCGGACTATCCCACACGCCCAGTACCCCCGGATTTACCCAGCAAAGCAGCATCGCGGCAACTGCCCAGACCTGGGATGGCTCCGCGCATGCGTGCCCTAGGAAGACTTCCGGAGCGCGCATCGCATATGGTTGTGCGTTGAGAAGACTGCCAGATGGCACTACTAGAGTCTATCTATTAGTAGTTACAATAAGAGGACTTGGGTTGGTTGGTCTTGCGGGTATTCACCAAGTCCCAAGTCTCCCACTTTAGCTGTTACATAGCCGGTTTCAATACCAGAGAGCAGGATGTTTGCGGGCTTTAAGTCTGCGACAGGTTAGGTAGGGGAATTAGCAGATGTCAGATCCTTATAGACTAGGATCTTCTATACCTGTGTTCACACATCCGTAGCCTTCCAGTACGACACAACTAGTCAAAGCTGCTCTCATGACGGCCACGACGAGTGAGTAGATACGCATGCTAGGCTGGTATTTCACCTCTGCAAGAGTGGTGTCCAGCCATTCCAGGGCGATAGTGCTACTGTTAATCTCGTCGTACATCCTTCGGAAGCACGCTGAAGAGATGACACCGGGAAGACGATAGGCTTGTCGCTCACGCTTCATGTTCTCTAGTGCGGTTACGGCGTCGGGTGGGGATGCTTTTATCAGAGCCCTGGGTATGGTATAGTTAGTGCTGGGCGAGGTTGAGATTCATGATGTAGCACAGCGGACCTTTTGGGAGCTTGGGGAGCGTGTCGTGTATTCTCACGCGGGATAATCTCAGCTTTATAGACTGTCGAGGTATGTGTGCTATCTCCCACTACGGGGTTGAGTATTCGGTAGTTCCAAGAGGTGCCTTGGAGAGTAGTTCCAGGTGCGAGGGATGACATGGTTCTTGAGAAATGTTTTCGTGGAGCAAACATACTTCGGTAGTTGTGCAATATAATAAATCAAGAATGGGTTGTTTACGAAGACGCTGTGGAGGGATGGGAAATAGTATGTAAAAAGGGAAGATGGAGTTATACGTGACGGGCACGGGACTCGGAATGTGGCTGGTGCGGCTGGCTATGTGGCTATCAGATGTAGTACATCTACTATCTGCAACTCCCTACTATATTACATGGGTTCAAGTATCAGGCACAGCAATTAAATAACATAATGTAGCAAGCAACCTGGTTGTTTACAAGCAAAGCAAAGGTCCTTCAAATACACCGGGACGATGACATATCATCGCAATTTACAACTCCAATCTGTTCACTCCCCTCATATCATTCCCTGACTACGATTAGTAAATGCCCAAAAGAGCAGCGACGGCGATAGTCCACCACCATCCTGAAGAGTTCTTCTCCTTAGACGCTTTGTTGGACAGCACCGGTGTGTGGCTAGGTGAAGGAGACGTTGTTGGCCGGCCGGAGAAGGTAGCGAGAGTCGAGGAAGCCCAGGGGTTGGGAATACGGCTTGAACTTGCCGAGACGCCAGTTGGACCGCCTGGCACAAGGCCCACGGTTGTCTGGGCGCTTCCTGAGGCGGTCGTAAATACGACCTTAGGCACGGTCACGGTCCAGGTAGAGTAGGTGACGACGGTGGACGCGACAGGTGCAGCAGTGGCTGGTTTGGTGGTCGGTGCGACACCACCGGTGACTGAGTGGACTGCTGTACCAGTGACTGGAGCGGCACCAGTGGCGCCAGCGCCGAGGGTGATCGAAGTTGGGATGACCGTCACGATGCCTGGGTTTTGCGGTACATAGGCGGCGCAGATACCGGTGAAATAGGATAGAGCAGCCTGGACTTCGGCTTGGGAAGCTCCCCAGGCTTGTATGCAGGAAATGACCTTCTTGGTGAAATCGTCCGATGGGCAGTAGCAGCTGATATCGCTGTTGGAGCTGCACTTGGGAAGCAGGTTCATCCAGGTGTTGATGCACTTGGGCACCACGTTGGGGCACGGTGCGGATGGGGCGGGCGTCGAGACACCGCTGGCACCGGTGCTGGTGGCTGGGGACTTGCCCGTGGGTACAACTGTGTTTGCAATTGTAGACGTTGCTGTCATGGTGATGGTGGAGACAGTGCTAGTAACGGAAGTGATGGCCTTGCCACTTGAGGTCACGACTGAAGTCACAGGACATGTGGTCAAGGTCTCCCAGGTCACAATAGTTGTTGTGCTCTCAGGCGCAGTAGTGACAGGGCCAACAGATGTCGGGCCGGCGGTACACTTGGGGCAGTATGTGGACACCGAGGTCAATATCACTGTTGAGATGGTACTAGTGACTGAAGTCACCGGCTTTCCGCTCGAGGTCACTACAGTGGTCACTGGACATGTAGTAAGGGTCTCATATGTAACCACAGTTGTCGTGCTCTCAGGGACGGAGACCGGTCCAGAGGAAATGGGAGCGACGCCGGTTGGACCGTGAGCAGAACTGGAGACGACCGAGGTAGGTGTGATAGTGGTCACTGAGGTCACGGTCATGGTTGAGACTGTGCTGGTAACCGAGGTGATAGGAACACCACTTGAGGTAACAACGTTGGTCACAGGGCAGGTAGTCACAGTCTCATAAGTGACAACGGTCGTAGTCCTCTCAGGGGCCGAGACAGGGCCAGACGAGATAGGTGCTACAGAAGTCGGAGCAATGCACTTGGTGCAGATGGTCGACGTCGAGGTCAGCGTAACAGTAGAGACGGTTGTGCCAACTGACGTGGTGAGTGAGCCGCCTGCAGAGCCAGTGGATGTCACTGGGCAAGTGGTCACTGTCACATATGTAACGACGGTGGTCTTGTCAACAGCAGGAGCTGAAGAGCCATGCCCTGATGCAGCAGGAGCAGTAGACACAGCAGGGCTAGTAGGGACCGGGCTCGAATGGGATGAGGTGGACTCGACAGGAGAGCTGCCGGATGGAACACTGATCGACGTCGTAACCATCGGATTGCTGGTATGGTGTCCTGCCGACGTACTCACCGACGTACTCGCTGCCGGAGAAGCCCCAGAAGTTTCAGTAACCGGGCATACAGTAGTCGAGACCGCAATCGTAGATGTGACCACTGTGACCGAGTTTGCAGGACAATTCGTCACAGTGGGTGCGCAGCTTGTGATTGTCACCTCCTTCGTCGAGTAAACAGTAGATGTAGTCATCCTGACTGGTGTCGGGGCAGAAGTTGTAGTAGCTGCGGGCGACGAGGGTGGCATCAGGATCAGGGGAGTTGAGGAGCCACTTGACTTGGTCGAGGATGGCAGCACAGTGGTACTAGAGGTATCGGTGTCCTGGCTCGGCGAGCAATCGAATTCGACCTCATAAATACCCAAATCGCAGGTCTCGATCTCAATATCCTCCTCAAGCCTGAAGCTCACTGAAACAGAACCACCACACTGATCATTGGTAACATCTGTCCCGCCCGGAGAGCAGGAGACAACATCATTGCAGGATGATCCATCAGGCATGTTATAGATAATGTGGACGTCAGCTTCCTTGGATGTGGCGAGACGAAACCTGCTGACAGAGAATCCCTTCTGGCCTTTACCGGAAGACATCTTGAGACCCGAAGATCTTTCCTTGGAGAGTTTTCCAACGATGCATTTTCCCTGTAACCATTAGTTACGGACCAACTCAAGAGAGGTGCAATGCTTACACTGGAGGAAGCGCCAAAGCTCTCTTTCAAGGAGAAGCCTGAGAACTCAAACCCGGCATAGGCTGAGAAGGAGCCGACAGCCAGCCCGGACCAGTCAAATCCAGTTTGCTGATCCTGGGAACAATCATTGTCGGCCTTTCCAGGACTGGGATAGCATTCATCGGTTCCCCACCACTATGTATATTAGCCTTGTATGAAGTCATGTACAAGAGTAAGAGCACACTCACCAAGCCCTTGGGATGAGCAAGAGCTGCAAGCGGCCAAAGGGCGACCGAAATTAGGTAAAGAGGAACTATGGCCCTCATATTGAATAGGGCTTAGTAGTAGTCGAAGGAGTGTAAAGAATGTCGAATGAGATGCAGATTGTCGATTGGTTTCAAAGTCACCCAGTTGCGGAAGAGGAGACTTATAAAGAAGACGACAAGAAATAAGAACAAGCCAACGAGTGATAGTAGATGAACGAGTGTCTAGTGTCAAGCCACTTGGGCAAACAAACAATAACACAATAACAACAACAAGAAACAGCTTCAGGGGGAAATCAGAGCAGCAAAGCATTCTGTTACCAGGGAGGGCGATGGACCCTTAAAAGTACCAACACCGGGATGGCGAAAGGCTGTGTGCCTAACACAGCCATGACGGCAATTGCCGTTCACCAGGTTAGACTGAAAGTGCAAGTAAGACAGCCCATTGAGCATTCACGCTCCAACCAGCCAGATGTCAATGGCTGCACAGTCGGTGTTACAACCACCAATCCAATCCAGAGGCGCCGGGTGTGCCGCTAGTGCAGGAACAGGGTGAAAGACCCTGACAGAAGCGCGAGTTCATCGCCAATCAGGAGCCACAAAGGCTGGCATTTGGCTCAGCCCAAGAGATGTATCGGCCCATAAGGGGAGATGATGAAGAACCCTTTATTTTGTGGGTGAAAGAGGGGACTATGGGGCGTTGGTGGCTGTTCGTTGCCTGGCAGTCTGACAGCATACAAGCCTCTACCTAAATCCATGGCAACAAGACATTCATCGACTTACTATTCCTGACTCCATCTGGCGACGAATGCGCCAGCAATAATCAGACATGAGGATCATGAATGGATACGCCCAACAAGCAGTAGACAGGACCCATTCATCCAGGACGAAAAGGGTAGAAGGGAAGAAGAGAGGGGAAGCCAAGCAAGAAGGGATCGATCATGTGTCTGTCACTGACAGACACACTGTCCCACCTCCCAAATGAGACCCTAAACGGCGCCAATGTCTCTTCTCCACGTCAAATGTCCAGCCAGGGTCCAATTCTATCCATTCATATCACATCAGACACACAGAAGAAGTTTATTCTGCACGATCCTCTCAAAGCGGCATCTCCGATCTTCAACACCTAAAAGCTCGCTTGTGTGCAGTGAGTGAGAGGGTAAAGTTAACCCGGCGTCTCGCGCTGAAACCTGACCAGTCAGTGCCCCAACAACATCTTCCCCTCTCACATTCATCACTCCTTTACCAACTGCCAAGATTATCCATTCGGTTCCCATTCTAATAATAATCTTACGACACTGGAAGAGCCCAGTTTACCCCAATCCGAATCAGAAAGAGAACAAACTTCAACCGATCTACAGCGTACTAGAGAGAAGTTGAGGGCAGCACGCATTCCCATTCACCAGGTAACCGCCGAGGCTTCAATCCAAGTTCCCCGACTACAAACACCGCCACGCCACAGCAAGATAGCTGATGGAAGAAATCAAGGGATTGACAGCCATGTAGACTCTAATTGACGTAGACTAACTACATAGGTGACCTAGGGAACCCCAGCGCCAGAATACCACCTCGGAATCCAACCCTTCAGAGCCTGGGCCACCGCCTCCACATTCCACTAAAATACCATGCAAGTCTGCGTTTGGGTTTGGGGTTTGTGATGTGAGCATTGTGATAGAGCATGCATGCATATATGCTGTACGATCTGATTTATGCGCTCGCATAGGATTGATTGGTTCGGACTTCAACTGGCTTGTCTCCACAGGAGGTGGTTGTGCAACCTGCTAAACGCTCGTGTACAAAGCGATGACGAGAGAATTACTACTTTACCCCTGGCGCGTCGCACAATGGCTCTGTCTGACCATTGCGTTAGGGACCTTGAGGGGTTTCGTTTACTCCTGACCCTTGTTATGGCTTGCATAGGGTGGTATTGCTTCATTTCCTTTGGGTTGAGCACTGAGACAAGTATTACTTGCAAGAGGGAAGGGCAAAGCCATCGCCAATGGCTTGATGGCCTGATGGCTGCCTAGAGGCTATAGTTACTCGATACTACCTGGAAATCTTAAAAAGCCTACGTTACTAGTCGATTGCTTGAAATACTTTCATATTTGCATTTCCGTGTGCTTAAGACGCCGTAGCACTACATACATGTCATCAAACGGAGGAAATCAAGGTAGAACAAAGAAAAGCAAAAGGTCTTCGTAACACAAGGTATATCCTTTCATCAACTCCAGAAATCAAATGTCATCAAACTCGAACTTTTGGCCATGAGATATCCCCCGTCTTTCCGACCACAAGAGTAAGAAGAGAAAGAAGACCTAATTCTGTGGGAGAGAAGCCATGCAGAACACCCGCCGATGGTGGAGAACGGGGCTGGATCAACCAACCCACATTCCCGATGTAACAAACACATCACCGTCTATGCTAGAAACACAGACTCTAAATCCATATACAAATGTTCAATATGTCCTCGGAATTGGTGGAAATCCAGGCACGCTATGTTCGCCTCAAATCAGAGATATCAGGGTATCGCGCAGTGTCAAATCGTAGTTTAGAAAGGAAGCTGGGTGTGGCGGTGGGCGTCCATCAGCTTTCGTCGGACCGCTTCCCCGCCGTTGTACCCACTAGCTTTGCGCTTGCGCGTGGGGGTGCGTTGGTCTGCATGGCGTGCATGTCTGAAGACGCTAGCAGGGCGAGAAGGCGAATTGGCCGGCATAAACTCCCGATGCTGTGGGAGACGCAACAGTGCTTGGTAGCGGTTGTGATTCCGGCGGAACGCGGTAACGATGCCACGGTCCAGGTGGTTTAGGAATCGTTCCGCACTGCTGGCCTGCTGGGAGTCGGCACCGCGATTAGGGGTCGGTGTGCCCGTGCCGAGTTGTAGGGGCCGAGCAGTCATTGGCGACATCAGCGCTTCTTCGTCGAACGCCTTATCCATCTCGTCATCAGATGACCCATCACCGAAGTCAATGAAGTCTTCGACATTCAAAGCCGACTCCGGATCATCTTCATCGTCGTCCTCGAAAGAGCTATCGATAGCAAAGTCACGGGATGGATAGAACGCCTCAGGGGGGCCCATTACCTGACCGCCTGGAGCAATATCATTACCGAGGGCAGTCATCATAAGATTAGCACTTGATGCAAGCATGGGGCTCAGATCTGCATGGTTGGGCGATGCGAGGGCGTCCGTATCGCTTTCGTCAATAAGATGCATGGTAGTAGCCCGTGGACTGTTATGAGCAGTATTGCAGGCGCTGTTCGTGGCAGATTCAAGCCAATCATGGCGAGAGGAGGCATAGGCAGGGATGATCACGAGGTGCTTGCCAGTGCAGTCGACAAGTGCAACAGGCTTATGAGGGTCGGCGACAAATGTCCCCATAATCGGTCCTCGCCGACGAGAAGTGGTTTCGCTCTTCTCATCACCTGTGGGCGCCAGCGAGGCCGAAGAATCCCGACGCAGGATAGATCTAGGATGCGTGATGGTGGCAGGAGGGGGAAGATCTTCATCTGTAGTCTCGCCATCATCGGCTTCAAACGTGTCAGCAAGTGGAATGTGCGGGGTTGACCAGCTTCATGCATACTTTCATAGCCGCTTGACTCCGAGCCCTCGGAGATGGCATCGGATTCCACGTGATAAATATTGGAATGCCCGTAGTCTGACTCGGCATACATCTCCTCAGACTGACGCCGGCGGCGGGATAAATTTTCATTATCATTGTCGATCATGCGACGCAACTGAGGATCGAGACTATCTTGTTGGAGGAAATCACTGGGGATCTCATCCTCGGTATGGGAATCACTATCAGACGAGGAGTCCGAGTCTTCCTGGAAGTGCACCCGGCGCGGCACCGGGGTCTCAATAGCAGTCTCGCTAGCCATGTCGGTCTCCCCGAAGGCTTCCATGGCAGTATAAAGCTGTTCTTCATCAAAGAAGGACGCACCCGACAGGATCATATGATCGTCGAAAACATTGGGACCGGCCCAAACATCAGCGCCGGGAGCTAGGATACCGCCAACGGGGTTTTCATTTTCAGACTCCACAATCAACAACTCTTCCAGTTTCTCTACATCCTGTTCCTCATCATCTGAGCCATCGCTGATGTAGTCCACAGCGGCATAGACATCATCAGAGCTTTCGTCAGAATCATTGTTATCATCGCTACTCCGTTGACCATCGTAGCCATCATCGTCGGAGAATTTCATCTTCTTTGTCTTCTTCTGTTTCACGCCCGTCTTATGGGCCCTGTCACGGCGACCATAAGACGGGGCACGAACAGCTGGCTGTTCTTCCTCGTCATCTGCATCATCATCCTCGGAGTCATTTGCATCGTCGCTGAGTTCGCCAATGGATGAGACGGATGACACACTCGATACGGAGGCCGCTCTTCGCTTCCGATCAGCATTCAAAGAACCAAGGGAGACAGCTTTATTGGACGTTCTCGGGGAACGACCCGCGGGGTTGTGATGGGTAGCCTTTGCGACACCCTGGGGTGACCGCTTCGGGGAGTTTGTTGTTGGCGCCATTATATCGTCAACAATAGGTATTGTTATATTGCTTCTTTGGGAGAGGTCTCTAAGTTGAATTGGGACCGACAAAGGTTAGGTAGCACTTGTTGGTTCGACAAAGTTTGCTACCCGTACAACCCGCTGCAATGAATCGATTGCGTCAGCGACTTGAGAAGACAGGTTCAGGGACCGATATCGTAAGGTAGGAGTTTTTCGGAACGTTATTTCGTAATGGCGTAGAGGAAGGAAAGGATATCGTGATCGATGTTATAGACAGCGTGAGAGAGATCGGGATGAGGGGGGGTATATCGGTAGGGGTGGTGATCGGATAGAGGGAAGGGGAGGGCAGAAAAAAAGGGACGATAGCAAAGACTTTTCGTAGACCGCAAAAGCACCTCACCGTCCAGAAGGGGACGTCAAAAGTGCTTCTCCTGTAAATGTACTGAGGGGCAATTCCGACGCTTGCCTGTTGTTGCGTCGAAAGAGGAACAGATAATCGTCAAGTCAATTGGAGATTACTCGGAGCTGCTGGACTGGGGAGCATGGAAAAGGCAGCCGTGCCCCCCAGCGAGGAATCTACAGCTCAGCGAAAGCCATCCTGGCACGGAACCCTTGACGATATCTGGATAGTATAGAAGGAGAAGAAGAGGGTCTTTTGAAGGTTGGATAGAAGGTGTGGTGAGAAGATTCTGCGACGAGAGTGGCAGAAGGAAGATGAGGGGTGGAATAGAGGGTAGGAAGGAGGAGGGAAAAGACAGCAGGGGAGAAGATCATCTATCCGTACGCCGTCGTACCGTGACGAGCAGGTTACAGGACGGAACGGCCTTGGATTGCCTGGGGCGGGCCAAATTTTCCAGTCAGGGTGGAGCCCGCCTCGGCCGGTCGCAGTCTGCGGGGTCATGATTGGTCAGGAACCACAAAAACAGTCACGCCCATTGGCGGGCAAGTGTTCACCGCATCTTTTTTTCTTTTTTCCATTTTTATTCTTTTTTTGCCTGCAATCCACCCCAGCTGGTCTCTGCAGTAGAAGCCAATCATTCGCGGGGGACTTGTAACAGCCTCGAATAGAAGGCGACAATGATATGACCGGTTTAGTACCACTTAGTCACGGCCTGTCCAAAGGAGGCAACAGAAGAAGTAATTTCCGCCTGGCAGACTCTTACCTCCTTTCACTTAGTACTACTACGTACTACTTTGTCACTATCTAGTACTAAATGGTGACTATCTATAGCATACTGTCTCGGAATGGACTACGGCATGCACTCCGGCACGTCCCGGTTGTCGAACGAAGACGATCCTGAAGCACTTGGGTAGTCTTTCTTCGTTGGGTACCTGAAACTGCAGATGGCGTCGACGGGTCTTTTCCATTGAAAGGGATACTATTATGGGGACGGAGACGGCAAATTGGAAAATGAACAGCGCCTTGTGGCCAGGAAGGAATCCCACTACTAAGTTTCTGCTTGCCATCTATGACTTGGCCCGCTGTTCCGCCTGCCTAGTACTAAATCACCGGACAAATCATGAACAACGCTGGCGACGGAGTCACCCGAGGATTGAAGCATCGGTGACTCACTACTCCTCCGAGTTGGAGGCATCTATTCGCCTCCAGACGAGCGTTATGTTCGGAAACTCGAGATGAATCGAACACCTACCCAGGGTTGAAACATAACCATATGGCGAACCGATGCAGCATCCCTACGTATCACCCCCTCTGTTCCACCACTAGCATACATTTTTACAGACTTGTACAGTATGTAAGTAAAGGCAATCTGTTAGATCACAGGCATGCAGGCAAGAACGCAGATCGCACCCGAGCCTCTGATAAAGAATGAGGGGCCTTCTTTTTCCGAAAGTTGTGGCATGCAAAGCGGGCCATACTGTAAGAAAGGGGAGAATAAGCAAATCTCACAAGCCAAATTCCTGCCGCTAAAGGAAGGGAGGACAACTTTCTGAACCGTGCCCTCTGCACGGTGACATCTTCTCACATCATCTTGATAATGGCCGTCACTGTGTCGGCTAGATCAACTGGTCCATGATTCATCGAATGCACTGCACTCATAGGTATGATTCATCGAGCGTGCATCTAGACGCAGGAAACACGAGTTGGCTGCCGGATGGCCTGCACTCCTCTCTCAGGAGGTCGGGAGTAAGGGAGGATGACATGGATGGACCCGGATGGCTGGCCTTGATGGGCCACCTTACCGGATGAGGTCAATCCCACCACTCGGATTGGCCAAGCCCGGCACTGGCGGCTATGCCTTACCCGATATGGACTAGTCCGCTCATGGGGAGGAAAAGGTGCTGCCTCGCTGTTTTGTTCATTCTCGGGGTCTTCCTTGCTGCTCACAGTAGACTGCAATGGGCACGTTGATCGATTCCTTACGTTGGTGACTCTCTACCACACGAATTGGTCTGTCTTAGAGTATACATCACTAAGCATAAGTGATTTCTCTAAGTCATGGCTACCGCCTATTCTGTCAAATTACTAAGCCAGCTGTCAGTCATACTTACAGTCAGTACGAAGTATAGCCGCTGAACATAACACGGTCAACTCAATTCCTCGGTTTCAAGTTCTAGTCTACTTTTACAATCATCCTCAACAGGACCCTTATCTGCAAGCATCAATTGTTCCCAGGAAACTGCAGACACAGAATCCTGATCCTTTAGCATGGGTATCCAGGCGCACGGATATGCGACAGAGCCTCGGTATCCGCGGCTCAGCCTAGACCTCCAGCCTTGGGCGGATGCATCAAGTTGCAGCAGACCAGATATCCACCAGAAGATCAAGGCATGATAAGTTCAATGAACAGCACAACATAGGAGTCTCGAGCGTCAATTAGACCAACAACGCAGCGGCTAAATCTCCGAGATTGCCGTACCACCTTTACCAATTTGCAGAGATGGGCTATTTACAGTATCCGTGATGCCCATCCTGTATACATACTACCTCTTTTCACAGACATAACCCATCCAGACTGACTCCGTAGGAAGGTAATCGGGAACATATAATGGCACACGTGATAGTACTAATCGCCGACCGGATCGACTAAAATAGTTCAAAGTGGAAAGACAAAAAAGCCACCGCATCAATAATCCCAGGAGGTCCGTGACATTTTCGGCATCATCCCGAACGGACTGGGCTGGGCACTACTACCATACTGTGTACAACCCCCTACTCTATCCAAGGCAAGATAGGTAAGTAGTTTCGGCTAGCCGTGAATTTGGCGCTACTATTGCTGGTTTGTTTTGCCTTGAATATTCCTCCGTATATTCCGTATATCAAAAGTGCGGAATTCGGCTACCTTTCAATAATAGGAATCAGAAATTGCACCACACCTTCAACCGGTACCCCTCCACAAAACATTCATAATTACAATGACAAAAGATCAACCCACAAAAAGCACCCAGGTCCCCGAGCGCAGAGCAACAGACAATGATGATCTAGAATGAATGCAAAGCACCACACCACTTCTTCGAGACAGGTACATTAGTCTCATGTTCCATTACCTCGTTGGCTTGCGAAAGAGGGACAAGAACACTCAGGCATGAATTGTGAATGATGGATGGGTGGACTAGTAGCGATGCCTTTGGCATTCATACATGATGCATGCATGTTGTAATTGGCTCTAAACAAGCGGTAAAGGGACAGCTGGCTTGCCGCCGCTGCAACTACTGGAAACTCAGCCGGTTGGATGTATCGAGAAACACCCTACTACGGGGCTGGCCAGCCAGCCAGCAACTCGATTCAACTACGACTGCTAATTATCATTGTTGTTGCTTACGGAGGTACTTGGTGCAAGTTTAGCAGGTTCTTCTGCCACATGTTGAAGTGCTGGCGGCTATTAATAATAAGTTGGTTATATTGCTTTAATGTAAGTGGATGAACTGTGCAGCGGGAAATGGGCTGATAAGCAGCAGCAGCAGCAGCAGTAGCAGCAGGTGAGAGGGGGAAGAACCTACTGTAAGTAAAGTTTCTTTTTTCGTTATTACTTACACATAGTAACATCATCACTCATTGCTCCATATTAGTCCAAATTTATGTGCATTGCGCCAGTGATACAAAAAATCCCCCATTGTCAACTAACTAATCAACAATCCACTACTATGTACTAAGGGGCAAAAGAAGAGGGGGGAGAGGGGGGAACGTGGCCTTCCATTCCATTCTTCCAAGATTCTAGTTGAACCCGACCCAGTTAGTTATCGTTATCAAGATTGGGGGGAAATGGGCGATAGTGGATATTGAATGATGATGATGTTTGCAATTGCCCACTATTGTATGGTCACAGTAATACCATTTCATACAGCTAGTCCACGTCGAGCAGGATGTTAAGTGGGTTCTGATTACTCAAGAGATCGGCGCCCGTTGCAGACCCCATTGGTCAATGCGTGGCTACTTTTGGCTGTCTGATTGGCTGGGGTGGCTGCACCCCGCAGTCTCGTCGATTTTCCGTCTGGCAAAGCAACAGCAAAGCTAGTCGTCGTCCAGCACAGCTGAGATAGTAGTAGTGTTCAATACATGTGCAGGGGGACTTTAATATTATTGTAGGGAGATACTTGGTCGCTGGTGATTCGAGTGATTTTCTACGTCCGGTCTAAGCTCCTGCGGGTCGCAGCATTATCCCGGAAAGGGCGGCTAGACGGCAGAACTTCCAGAAGGGGGCCCGGTTAGAAGAAAATGATGATGAAGTATCTGAGATGGATGTTGCCACCCAGTCTGCCCGCAACTTGCCCGGTCCGCTCTTCAACCATGGGTCCGCGTGATGTTTGGGATAGGCTAAGTGATGTTTTCATTCAGTTCCAGAGGACAAGTGGCCGAAAGACATGGAATTCATAACAGTAGATCATGGGATTAAAGACAACAAAAAGGTATCAAAATGACGTTAAAAAAGCAAAATGCGCCTCTCCAAAAGTGACAACAGTACCCTGTTCAGGTACCTGGGTAGGGTTCAATTTTCGGTTCTGCCGGTGTCGATTTTGGGTCCGACCTAGGCCAGATTGATAAAATTGACTTGGATCGTTTTGGCCTGGTAGAAATATCATCTTTAGGTTCATTCTCCTTGTCCTTGGCATCGTTCGTAGTCGTGGCGGCTTCTCGTGCTTGTTGCACCTCCTTTACTCCTTGGCGGATATCCGCCGCGGAAGCTCCTCGGGGTGCCGTGGTCGTCAACGTCTCAGTATTGCGGATCTTCCCTTCAGGTGACTCGTCATTCAGTTTACCAATCTCCTCTTCTGTGACAAGACGCTCATTTTCGAGGCGAACCTCGCGGCCCCGTTTATGGCAATACCAGAGGACAAACAAAAGAACTAGTGAACATTAGTGACTCCCGATTCATCCTAGTCGTGTCAGGGCGCAACTTACTAAACAATGCCATTGACCAGAGTACATTCATACCCAACACTGCGGGGAATCTAGCCCGTAAGAATGCCATGATGGATCGTAACATCCCTACAAGCGCTGCTGGCTTCCCTACTAGTTCTTTCAGGCTGGGAACCTTAAGGCCCATCTTGTTGGCGGCGGCCGCCGCCTTGCCTACATTGTCCACGTTGATGCCACTTTTACTGGCCTTCTCAGTGGCAGCCGCGAGAACTTCGGGGGCCAGTGTCTCAGTCCATTTTTCAGGAAGCTTCTCGATCAGGCTCTGGAGGAACTTCGGGAGATTCGAGTAAGTGCTTTGCAGTTGCTTGTTGCCGTTCTTGAGGAGCATCTCAAGATCATGATACGCAGTCGGAACACCATTGACCAAGTCCCTGAAGATCAATGTGAATTTACGAAGGAGTTCCCGTGTTTCGTCACTTATCGAGAATACGCGGTTGTTTTCGGCCGCCAGGTTGAGGCGCTCGAGGATTTCCGTCATATCTTCTGCTTCTTGTTTCGCTTCATCGTCTTCTTTAGCTTCAGCGGGCTGTGCATCACTTGAGGCACTTGGTGCGGGAGCTGCTTCGCTCGCGCTTTCGCTACCCTAGTCATCAAATAACAGTCAGCTATTTGTGCAGATACTTTAGTGGCGGTGTCATAGCTACCTTCTTGTCAACCGTGCTCTTCCGCCGGATCCAGCTCCAGGGCCTCTTCTTCTGTGTAGAGCTCTCAGCTTTGGAGCCTTGAGAAACACTCTGAGAGCGCTCTGTCTTCTCTCTAATCTTCCGTTCTTCCTCCCCTAGTTCCTTTCCAAACTCCTCTGCCGGTGACACTGGTGATTGGGTAGTATCAAAAGTATCTGTGGGTACGGGAGAAACGGGCGATAGAGGGGTATCATTTCCGATGGTAGGCGATATCGGCCCTTGCTTTGCCGGGTCAGAGGTTATCTCTCGTAGAAATGCTTCATCTTCGGTTGTTAAAACCGGCTCATGCGGTTGACGTTGGGACGGGCGTCTCCAGTTCTTCCACTGGGTGAATTGCTGCATGGCTATCTCGCTCCACGCTTAATCGATAATGGTATATAAAGCCTATATACTTCCTCTTATGTTTAGTGAAGGTTCGACAAGAAGTAATCCAGCGGATAAAGGAGCCGTTCTTCACATTGCGATATGGCGGCCTGAACAAAGGACGGTGAACTTACCCCAGATATATAGCGATTTCGAGACCCACCGGTTCCGGTGCACGATCAATATAAGTAAACTGTACACGCTGGGAGCTGTTCAACGTAGGATATTTGCTCTTTCTGCAATTCATAGCCACTCTGAGCTCGAGAGTCGTTGAAAGACAGCTCACCGAGCGAGTCAAGCGATGATATCACTGCACAAGACAGGTCACATGTGAAGGCACCCCGTTGGTGCCACAGTTTGCACCGCCACGATCTGGCTGGATCGGGAAGAGATCGGCTGCACCGCCGATCATTGGTCGGTTCCTGTTGGTTAAGGCATCTACAATCGATCGGTTCCAATTGTCATTGCTTGTTGTAACTCTTCTCTTCAAATGTACAGGTCTACTTATATCATCATCCATTGTTGCTTTGCTAGGTACGCAGGAAGGATGATCAAGTGTACTCATCCACATCACTTTAATGGTTGAATTAGCTGATTGTCTATTAACTCGTGAGAAAGTCAGCGCTATGTTGAATCCGCTGAATATATATCTGACACTCTCCGAATGACCAGCATAGCTACCACTAGGAAAGACATCAATCTAGATTTCATAATACTGAACGATTGAGGACGCAAAGCTTTACAAATCACCTTGTGTCAGTCATACTTATGCAGTGCTCATTCTTGGAACTACCAAGCCGTTATGACTCTTGGATATTTGTCCACTCCTTCACCTTCTGAAAGTCCATCACCCTATACTCTCCTCCAAACCTGTTTTGCGTATCATCCCAATCCCGATTCACAGCTTGCTCAGGTCTCCAACGAACCGCAGCTGCAACCCTCGGGTCCATCTTCCCTTCGAGCCGGTCAGCAATAAAACCACCGATCGAGGGAATATGGGCGAATCCGCGACCGGATGCCCCAACTGCAAGCAGTAAGGATGGATGATCAGGATGATAATCTATAAGGAAGTTTCGGTCGACCGTGTCGGCGCACCAACATATCCGGGCGAATGAGAAAGGTCTCTCCGCCAACTGGGGCATCGTTGCTCTCAGGAGACCGCGGATTCGCTCAGCCGACTCAACGGGGATCTGATGACGTGCAAAGGGAACGCTTCGTCGTTCGCCATCTGAGCCAACAATCCAGTTACAGTATCCTGGATGTTCGTCACAGATCTTGAGCTCGTGCTTTTCTTCATCTGGTTCTATGAAGAAGCCCTGATCGGCATTGAAGAGGACCGGTAGGTTGCGATATGCCTTGGCTTCCTCTGGTGACATGCGAATATGAGCCAGGGTCCAGGCAGTTGGCCGAAGTTGTTTCTTGAAATCAAGAAACTGGTCCGCATTTGCACCAGCAGCTAGAATGACCTTGGAAGTAAAGTGTTGCTTCCCATCTGCTGTTTCGGCCCCTACAATATCCCGGGGTTCAGTGTCGGACGAAAATAGTAAACGGACAACTCTTCCCTCGGGGTCGCCTCCAATGAAGGTGACTCCAAGCCTTTTGGCTTCGGTGATGGCTGATACGAGTGCATTCCGAGCATGCACCCACCCAGCGCCTGTCTTCTTCCAATATCCTTTCCAACCTGGCAGGGGACCCGTCAAAATACCCGAGGGAAATGCCTTCCGGAAGTCCTCCGGGTCATTGAGCTCCACTATGTCGCCCCCGCGGTCGCGCCGTCCAATATGCTTGAGACCGCCCGGGGAGAAAGCTGAAGTGATGTTCCCAACATTGTGGAAATGTGGCTTGAACACCGGGTCGTGCTGAAAGCCCCTAGTAAGTGCGGCAAAAAAGGTCTTGTTGACGAAGTTGGGGTCGTCCTCGGCGGGAGGGTCCGCTTCGCTTCGGTTAGCTACATCCCAGGTACACGGGCATTCCACACTCACTGAAGGAGACTATCTTGTTCACGTCATTGCCCGCCGAAATGGCGGATGGCTGATGATACGCATCTAAGACAGTGACATTGGTATAACCCCGTCGGGCCAAATGAAGGGCGGTGGACGCTCCCCAGCTGCCAGCCCCGATGATAAGGATGGGAGCGTGAAGCATGGGTACGTCTATCGGGGAAGCGGACTTAATGCGAATGAGAATGGAGAGTGATGGATGCTCTGAAGAGTGATCGGCGCGCATTTTGTGGCCACGGGGGATTTCGGTTTGCTAATGCAATGATGCAGATGGGAGGGGAAGGCCAAGCTTATCAAGTTGCCATCGACGGCTAATCTCATATCGACCCTGGCCACAAGGCAATGGAAGGTCGAGGCGTAAGCAAATCACATTGGGAGTTGATAGCGACATGGTACAATGGCGTGAGTCAAGCATGAGCGTCGCGATGTTTAGCAGCCGATTAGCGTCCGACTAAGCTCCATCCTCCAACTTTCCTGCTTCGCTTGGACCTGCCGCCCGTCTTGTCTGCCCTCTACTTTTGCCTCCACACTTCGATAATTATCCCGATAGCGATATCGCTACAAACCTGGGGTAACATTGGCTAATATCATACGAAGCTTATCGAACCCCGGATCGTGATAGTCGCAAACCGTTGCAATGCCTCTAATGCATTCCCCTCCTCCTATAAAGGGAGAGGCAGCCGTCGGGATGAAGACTTCCCAATCCACAGAGCTTCAAGTCTTTCTCCGGTGCTGCCATAACCATGCCTATCTTCAAAGATAGGGACCTTGACGTCCCTGGCACTGAGCTGCTGATCGATGTTCGACACGATCAGAACGTTCCTCATGACAGCTCCGACATCATCCTGTTGCCCCCTCCCACGGCCTGTGAGGGCGATCCTCTCAACTGGTCCGACTTCAAGAAATACTGGCACCTTCTCCTTGTCTCTGCATATGCCTGTATCTTTTCCTTTGCCGAGAACAACACCGGTGATGCTTACTCGACAATCGTGGAAATGACTGGGTCCACCATGACCATCATGAACGGTGGCGGAGCACTGAATTATCTCATGCTGGGTCTGGTGAATATTTTCTGGATCCCAGCGGCTATGAAGATTGGTCGTCGCTTTTGTTTCCTCGCAACCTTACTCCTTTGCATTGGATCTTCCATCTGGATGGGTGCTTTTCATACTGCGGGTGAATGGTATGGATGCAACATCGTCAATGGTCTTGGGACATCCGCCTACGAAGCTGTTATCCAGCTCGCAGTATTCGACCTCTTCTTTGACCATCAGCGCGGTCGCATGCTGGGTTTCTACATCTTTGCCCAACAGCTAGGCTCCATCATTGGTCTGGTCTCAGGAGGATACATTGCTGATGGACCGGGCTGGCGCTGGGCTCAGTGGGTGGTCTCCATTGGAGAAGGAATTTTGATCATTATCTTCTTCTTCACGTATGAGGAGACGTTGTTTCCCCGGTTCCTATTCAACCCTGCGCAGAGCTTGCCTACAGCCGAGGCCAAGCTAAAGAACCCGATTGATGCGACCGAAACAGCCTCTCTGGACAAGAAGGATCCCGCCACGGTCGATAATGCGAGTGTGAATGAGGGATCAGCCAGTGACATCATTCCAGCGCCGTCTGAATTTCCCAAACGGACGTTCAAAGAGAAACTGCGACTTTGGGTATATTACCCGCAGGATAAAACCACATATTGGTCTTACTTCAAACGACCATTCTTCCTGCTGGCTTTCCCCAACATCATTATTGTACTATCCCTTGACCCACATACAATTGCTTGCAACAGAAGCTAACATATCGTCCAGGCTGGTATCATCTTCGCCTTTGGCTGCACCTCTGGCATCGTTACCAACAAGACCATCTCCGAGATTCTCACTGGCGCGCCGTATAACTTCACTGATGGTCAGACTGGCCTTGCATATCTGTCTGCTCTGGTGGGCAGTATTATTGGCTACCTCACTAGTGTAATGGGTGATAAGATTGTCATTTACCTCGCTCGTCGCAATGACGGTGTCAAGGAGCCTGAGATGCGTCTCTGGGCTCTGACGCCTTGCTTCATCTATTCGGCAGTAGGATATGAGCTTTACGGCTGGGGAGCGCAGGAGGGTGCCCACTGGATGACAATTACGGTGGGAATTGGAGCGATGATTGCCCAGCAGGTTGCTGCAACATCAACAGTACGTTAATCGACCATTTTATATATCAAAACTTACCACTTCTACAGGCAACCGCGTATGCTATGGAGTGCTTCCCCGGAGTTGGGGGTGAAATCGTCGTGATCCTCGCCATCTGCAGCTCCATCATCAACTTCATCATCTCCGAGACCACACAACCGTTCTACGAAGCCACCGGCCCCGGCTGGCTCTTCCTCTTCTACGGAATCTGTGTGATCATCTCACTAGCAGCCGGAATGGCCGTCTACGTGTGGGGCAAGAAATGGAGGAGGAAATGTGCTCCGAAATACTACAAGTTCCTCCAGGAGCGAGGAGGAAACATCTAACCCGTCATGTATATACCCAGCTAGGATCAACACGAAACATGATATAACATGGCTTACTACTTGCTTCTAACACCAAAATAAACCCGCACCACTATCTACACAATACCACCTAGTAATCCTCCTACAATACTCCTCCATCAAACCCTCCCCATCCTCTCCAACCCCACAACCACCTCATCACACCGCACCCCCTTCCCAGGACAACAACAAACCACCACCTTCCTAAGCCCCCCCCAAATCCACAATCCTCGCACACAGCTGCATCCACGCCAACCACTCCCTCATCGCAGGCGCCCCTCCCGCCAAAACCATCTGTCTTGGCTGAAGCCGCACACACACACCACACATGATCCCGTGCTTTAAACAGACATCCTACCCAGTAGACTTAGCAGTAACAGCCTCGCCAGATCATGGCTGAAGATCACCCTGTCGCATAACACTGCTAGGGCTTCGAGGTAAATTTGTCTGCTTGTGTGGAAATGAAGGAGGGAGATGATGATTGAGCTTGCGGGGATGGGAGGGGGGTATGTTTATAAAACTATATGGTGAGGATTGGTGACTGTGATTATTTGGATGGGGTGTATGCAGTGTTCAGCTAGATGAATAGATGATGTTCTGGACAATATGTTACTTGGTTAGAGACTTGTGCTGCCTGGTTAGCTCTGTGGTATTTGTTGCATATAGGTGAAGATATCAATCAATCTGGCTCATTTTCTGAGGTTTGGGATTTATAGATACTAGTAGATTATTTCGAGAGTAGTAGTGGTTATTACTTCCCTATAGTTACCAGAAATTATCTAATATGGTTCACTGCAGTAATAATTGAATAAGTAAATAATGTCTGCACCAGCAATAGTAGTAATATTACAGCCTATCAACGCATAATATGACCATGACATGACTGATTGGATACAATAACGGCTGGACAAGTTACATGACAATAGAAATATGAGACTGAGAAGCCAGCACAGCATGCATGTACACAGAGAATAGTCACGCTCACGCCAGCAACAACATAGGACAGTCTTAATGTAGTGACAGTGTTAAAATGCACAATATGGACGCCGTTATCAAAGTCACAGGTAGCACATGACAGAGGGGAAATAATAATTAGAAGACACGACATATGAAAGAAAGGTAAATGATAGAATAAACCGAGATAAAGCACCCCCTCCATACCTTCCTTTACATGAACAGCGCACTAATACCTCATTAACAGACGACACCAATCTTCAGGTAGACTTTCTCTTCTTGTATGTCCGCTTTGGCTTCTCAGCCGGCTCAGGTTCAGCTGCACCCTCATCGTCAGCAACGGGGGCTTGCTTCTTCTTCTTTGTCGCGGGTCTGCCCCTGGTGGGACGAGTAGTGGCGGGCTCCTCAGCAGCAGCAGCAGCAGCAGCTTTGCCACGCCTACCCTTGGTGGCGGCTGGCTTCTTATTCATTTCGACAAGAGGAGCATCAGACTCTTCATCCTCGACAGGTGCTTGCTTGGAGGCAGCACTGTTCTTGCGAGGCTTCTTGGTCTTGGGCGTTTCTTTAGCTTCATCAGCGTCGGCTTCGGCTCCAGCTTTAGTACGCTTCTTGGTCTGGGGAGTAGCCTTCTTGGTCTTAGGCGTCTCTTTGATAGCCTCTTCTTCAGCGTCAGAATCGGCTTCCTTCTTAGGCTCAGCACGAGCACGCTTCTTGGTCTGGGAAGTGGCTTTCTTAGTCTTGGGATTCTCTTTGGTGTCCTCTGCCTCGGCTTCAGAGCCGGATTCCTCCTTGGGTTCAGCGCGAGCGCGCTTCTTACTTTGGGGAGTGGCCTTCTTGGGAGTGGATTCTTCCGCGGTTTCGTCCTGGGTAGGTTAGCATCGATGAAGCTGTATTCTTTGAACAGAAGGACATACATTATCCTTCTTAGTCACACGCTTCCGGAATCCTGTCTTTCCAGGCCGATTGAGTTCGACATCCTGGGACACAAGTCAGACCTTCACAGAGAAAAAAATGATATAAAGCGCAAAAAATGTTGTAATATAAGAAAAGCAGTCAATGAACTTACCCCCTTCCAGTCCTCATCATCGACATGGCCCTGCTCTATTGCCCTGCGGACCTTCTCCTGCAGATCCTCAGGGAGCTCGTCGTAGCCATCCAAGGCCGACCAGTCTCTTTCGCCCTCCTCACCAACCGTTTCGACCATATTAGCAATGATCTTGGGGGTGACGCAGCCCCTGTTAAAAAGCATTAGCGAGGTGCTTCATTCTTTCGTAATTAGATTTACGAGACCTACCAGTGACGCCAGAAGTAGCTCTGAAAGCGTTCGGTATCAACCCAAGAGCCATGGCGCAACTCGCCCTTGAGGATTTTGATGCCCTGGTCTTTACATTCTTTGTTTTTGCAACCAGCGCGGCCAGTTGAGGCTTGCTCTGTGTAGATGATTAGATTTTGAGCGAGATGGATAAACTCCGTCGAAAATGCTATTTAAAACCAAACAACAATTGTGGAACAAGCAAAACAATAATGGTTCACGACTTGGCTGATAGTGACAGTTGGCAGTCACCGTTGGACAACAAACGCACCCCCATCCCATCCCAGTAAAGCAAGTTGACAACAAATCCATGGGGAAAAGCAAACAGTAAAGCCAACTATCAAGAGCGAGGCAGCGAGGAACTCATCTTTGATGAATGCAAGGAGAGCAGTGAACGAAAAGAATAACTTACCGAGACGATAGGCACCCATATTTTAGAAGCACCACGGGGAGCAGAGAAGGCTGGTGATACTGCGTGCGGGAAAGTTAAGTTTGCGTGCTGAGAGGGAACCAAGATTTATGGGTGCGATCGCGCCCGGGGTTGAAGGGTGTATTTATAACCTAGGGATTTCACCGACACAA